GTAACTCCTGTGCAGCCATGGCTGTGGCGTAGATCTCAGCCTCACAACTGGAGCTGAGAACAGAAGACGAGCGAGTAGAACGCCAAGAAACAGAGCCAGAGCCAAGGCTGAAAGTGTAACCCTGTGACGACCGCTGTGTAGCCTGGTCGTCAACCCAAGAAGCGTCCGAGTGCCCAGTGAGAACCACGTCTCTCTGCCCTCCAAGCACGAGCCCCATGCCCGACGTACTACACAAGTAGCGCAGTACCCTCTTCGCAGCATCCCAGTGCACCTTTCGGTGTCGACCAGGAGCCACGTAACGGGCCAGAAGGCCAAGAGGGTACGCAAGGTCAGGACGAGTGCAGGTCATCAGGTACATGAGGCAGCCCACTAACTCTGGGTAAGGACCACTCGGCTCTACGGACTCGTCCGAAGGTGGAGCTGAGAGCGAGTGACCTGTAGCCAGAGGAGTGGACTGTGGCGAGGACCAGGTGAAGCCGAAGCGCTGAAGGACCTGCTGCACCATGTGTGGCTGAGTCAGAGTGATGGTGCGGCGTGCTCTGTCCCGGGTGATCTGCAAGCCAAGGTAGCTGCGCAGCTCACCCAGGTCTGTGCACGTGTGTCTCTTCTGCAGCTCCGACTTCACCAGGGCGAGAGCCTCAGTGTCAGCAGTGGCAAAGACCAAGTCGTCGACGTACACGAGGATGTAGAACGGCGGCAACGAAGTGTCGGTGCGCAGAAACAGCGACGGGTCAGCAGTCGAAGGAGCAAACCCAAGAGCCGCAAGTGTCATCCTCAGTGTGTCGTGCCACTCACGAGGTGCCTGGCGGAGACCGTAGACTGGCCGCCGGAGGCTCCACTGGGTACCAGGCGGGAACGACCCAGTAAAGCCAGGTGGGCGGCGCAGCCAGATCTCTTCGTGCAGGCTGCCCTGTAAGAAGGCTGTGCTGAAGTCCAGTGAGTGAAGCTCGTAGTCACGCTGAGCGGCAACGTGCAGCAGCACCCGAAGAGTGGTCATCTTCGGGGTGGGGGAGAAGGTCTGGAAGAAGTCGACTCCCTCTCGCTGACTGAAGCCTCGAGCAACGTAACGAGCCTTGAAGACAGGCGGAGAACCTGACGGCCGCTTCACCCTGAAAATCCACATGCCATCAACGATGTTCGCCCCTGGAGGGGGAACCTCATCGACGTAGGTGTCTGTGGACTTCCAGGATGCCATCTATGCGTCCATGGCTGTCTGCCACTGAGAGGAGTAGGGGCCCGCGATCGCCTCAGCGTAAGAGCGCGGGGTCGGGATGTCTAGAGCATCCGGGTCTCCCTCAGGGGCAAGTAGCATGGCCACGAGATGAGGCGCAGCGGCCGCAAGACACTCAAGGTCCTCCTGTCTGTCCTCAAGGACGTCCGTGCCAAGAGCACACTCACCCCCGACGGACGGATGACAGACAAACTCATACTCAGCAACTAGACTGGCAGCGTAGTCTAGACGACAGGCAGCAGCAAAGTCGACAAGCTCAGCGACCAAGGCAGACGCAGCAGCAGACTCAAACGACGGGTCGGTGACAACAGTGGCTAACAGACGCGTGACAGTAGGGTGCTCAGCACGAAACCGGTCAGACTCAGGGTCAGCAACGTCAGGCAGAGAGGACGTAGGAGGAGACGGCAGAGGAACAGACTGCGGAGCAGAGAAAGGACGACGGACGACGAGGTGCGCGCTGGGGACAGCCGGCGAACGCGGACGAGGAACACGACGACTGGTACGACCAGAACGAACAGGCGAGACAGGACGCGACGCAGGCTCACGACGCTCAGCAAGACCTCCTGCCTGCTCAGTGTAAGGGGAAGGAGCAGGCAGCGGTGAGCCAGGCTATAACGGAAGACCAGTAGAAGACGGGAGGCTGAGAACCTGACTAAGTACAGTGTCAGGCGGTGGCTGAGACGACGGAGACGGTGGAGCGAAGAACAGTCGCGGGGGTGCAGTGCCACCAGCACCAGCAGCTCCAGTACCTCCAGTAGCTCCAGAACTCCCAGCGCCAGCACCTCCAGGACCAGCTCCACCAGCAGCAGCACCCCCAGACCCAGGGTCTCCAGCCTCAGTGTCTCCAGCAGTAGCACCCGCAGGCTCAGCACCTCCAGCCCCAGTAGCTCCAGTACCTCCAGTACGAGCACCTCCGGGACCAGCAACTCCAGCACCGTCAGTAGGCAAAGGACCAGCACCACTCCCAGCTCCAGCGACGTCAGCAGAAGCACCCTCAGCGCCAGTACCTCCAGCAGCTCCAGAACCTCCAGCGCCAGCACCCTCAGCAGCTCCAGAACCTCCAGCTCCAGCGCCACCAGCGCCAGCACCTGTAGTAGTACCAGAACCTCCAGCGCCAGTACCACCAGCGCCAGCACCTCCAGTAGCTCCAGAACCTCCAGCGCCAGCACCCTCAGCAGCTCCAGAACCTCTAGCTCCAGCGCCACCAGCGCCAGCACCTCCAGTAGCTCCAGAACCTCCAGCGCCAGCACCCCCAGCAGCGCCAAAACCTCCAGCTCTAGCGCCACCAGCGCCAGCACCTTTAGCAGCTCCAGAACCTCCAGCAGAAACAACTCCAGTAGCAGAGTCACAAGCTCCAGCGCCTCCAGCAGCAGGGCCCCTAGCTCCAGCAGCGCGACCCTGACGGCCAACGGAGACAGCAGCAGCTGCGCGACCCTGACGACCACTCACGCAGCTGCTGTGGGGAGAGAGGGAGTAGACGACGAGAGTGCAGCGGCGAGGCACCAGCGGAGCGACTACGGAGACGGCCACTCCAGGGAGACTGCTCACCAGACGCCTCAGCGCCCCCAGGTGCAGCACCCCCAGACTCCTCACACTCAGGCTCAGCACCTCCAGGCTCGGCACCCCCAGGCTCCGCACCCCCAGGCTCAGCACTCCCAGGCTCCGCACCCCCAGGCTCAGCACCCCCAGGCTCAGCACCCCCAGAAGTAGCACCCCGAGCAGGACCACCCGCAGCAGGACCTGAGTCACCAGTGACCTCAACCGGCGCAGTCAAGGGAGGAGGGTCAACCTGAGACACACCTGAAGGAGCAGGACCGGGAGCGGGGAGGGGGTCTACCTGGGGAGCACCTGGAGCGAGAAAGAGCGGCGGGGGGGGGAGAGGGGCAGTGCGGTAGGGGAAGAGACGGTAAAAGGGAACCGACTCGTCGAACGTGACGTCCTGAGACGCAAAGACACGGCGCGAGGTGTAGGGCACCGTGACGGGCAGGCAGGGGGCTGGGCGCGGGCGTAGGGCGACGCGACGGGCAGGCAGGGGGCCGGGCGCGAGCGTAGGGCGACGCGACGGGCAGGCAGGGGGCCGGGCGCGGGCTTAGGGCGACGCGACGGGCAGGCAAGGGGCCGGGCGCGGGCTTAGGGCGACGCGACGGGCAGGCAGGGGGCCGGGCGCGGGCTTAGGGCGACGCGACGGGCAGGCAGGGGGCCGGGCGCGGGCTTAGGGCGACGCGACGGGCAGGCAAGGGGCCGAGCGCGGGCTTAGGGCGACGCGACGGGCAGGCAGGGGGCCGGGCGCGGGCTTAGGGCGACGCGACGGGCAGGCAGGGGGCCGGGCGCGGGCTTAGGGCGACGCGACGGGCAGGCAAGGGGCCGGGCACGGGCTTAGGGCGACGCGACGGGCAGGCAGGGGGCCGGGCGCGGGCTTAGGGCGACGCGACGGGCAGGCAGGGGGCCGGGCGCGGGCTTAGGGCGACGCGACGGGCAGGCAAGGGGCCGGGCGTGGGCTTAGGGCGACGCGACGGGCAGGCAGGGGGCCGGGCGCGGGCTTAGGGCGACGCGACGGGCAGGCAGGGGGCCGGGCGCGGGCTTAGGGCGACGCGACGGGCAGGCAAGGTAGGTGCGGGCCGTAGGGGCGGCGCGACAGGCAGGCAAGGTAGGGCGCGTGTGGGGCAGCGCGGTAACCGCAGGCAGGCAGGCGTTCGGTGGGCCCAGGAAAAAGAAAATCCGGTCCTAACGGACGAACCGCTCTGAAACCATGTTAGAAAGTCTAGGCAAGAATGATTGCATTGAAAGAAGGTTGGGTACAAGTAGCAAACCCTAAAGGGGTTGTACCCCATATTGGCTACCCCACTACAGCCTACACAAGTATAACATATATAGTTTGACACCTCCTTCCTTATTTCCTCCCTGCCACCCTTTCTCCTCCCCACCTTCCTCCCGAGCCTCACTTCCTCCACTCACTTCCTCCACTCACTTCTGCTTCTCTCCCCCGCGTCCTCCCTACCTCCCTTCCCCCCATCATTACTTCCTCCCTTCCTTCATTCCTGCATTCTCGCTTCCTCCCTTCCTCCGTCCCCCCCTTCCTCCATTTTTCCGTTCCTCCCTCCCTGATTTGTCAGTTGTCATTCTTTTGCATGCTTGCTCCCCTGCTACTTCAGCCACGTCACATCTGACTTACTGGTTTGTGTTTGTACAGGTCTCCTTTGCATCTGGTTGTGATGTGTTGACTGTTTGATACAAATACGACGTACCGTATTACCGTAATCACCCGGACATACCACCCTAGGGTGCTATGATAACTACATCAAAAAGGGGGGGGGGGGGGGGGGGGGGGGTCTTGTCATGGGAAAAAGCTACATAACACCCGGGTCTTTTTATAATGTACATTTAAAAAAAAGCAGAAACGGATGGGAACAAAATGTACATGCTTGCTGCGGTGGTAGATTGTTGGTTGGGTGCGCAAAACCGAGGATGAGGCGATAACGGTAGCCTCGAGTGGAAGCTGCCACATTGCAAGCTCCAACAGGCCGGTGGCATGCCCTGATTGGTCGTAAACACACCCCCCGTCGCTCGACGAGGATTCATGCAGTCACTGGTGCGGTCACGTCCCTGCGCACTGAATGAGTAGCCTCTTTCTTCTGTGCTGCGACTCAAGTCCACGACCTCGTGTTGTGCTCGGTAGAGTGTGAGAATTCCTCCTGCCTGCTCGATCCCTTTCCTAGCTTAAATTCAGGCTTTCTATGGCCAGTGATACAAACCTTCAGTAGGCTTACAGATGGCCACCTCTCCGGACTCCAGTAGCACAGTTGTTAGGCGGCAGCGGCTTTCTGTGACCCAGTCCCCCGCTGCTGTAGGCGCACGCCGTTCGCCTCGGCCCGTCCTGCCACAGCCGTGTCCTCCCGTTAGTCGCGCCACCCACGATGAACCGAGCAGCAGCGCGACCCGTCCTCCGCCTGCGCTGCCGAAGGTGAAGATACCTTCCTTCCCGGAGCAAACTCGCCCGCAGGGACCTCCGAAGCTCAACGCGGATGCCGATGCTCCTTCCCCACGTCATCGCATGACGAAACGCGTTCCTCATGCGTACACGGCGAAGGAGAAGCTTCACTGGCTGAAGCTGCAGGATTCGCAGCCGGACCTGTCCAACCGAGCTCTGGCGAAGCTGGCGAAGGTGCAGCCCGTCCAGATCCGCGAGTGGAAGCGGATGAGGGAGCGGCTGGAGGTTGCCTCTGGATGCCACCGTCGCCTCATGGGAGCCGGGCGCAAGGCGAAGTACCCGTTCATCAAACGGGCCGTGTATCGTCAGTTTCTTAAGCACCGCGCTAAGGGCCTCGCCGTCTCGGTCAACATGTTGCAGCAGTGGAGCGCCCAGTTCATGAAGCATCGGATGCCTGGGGTGAATTGGCGCGCTTCATTCCGCTGGTCGACTCGTTTTCGCGCTCGATGGCATTTGGCTCGACGGGTGAAGACGAAGATGGGCCAGAAATTAGCAGCGGGTAAGTTATGCTTGCATGGATTCCTTTCACTCTCCGATGTGTTTGCATCTAATGTTGTCTGTATGTGTTTGTGAGGGCAGATTGCAAGACTAAGGTCGAATTCTTCTGGGAGTTCCTGATGCGGATGCGCACCCTCCACGATTACCCGCTCGACCTGATCGTGAATGCGGATCAGACTCCGCTGTTTCTGGAGATGCTGGCCGAGCGTACAATCGAAACGAAGGGAGCGCGGACTGTCCACGTGCGCACAGCGGGCTACGAGAAGGAACGCGTCACTGTCACGCTGGCAGTGACGGCGGGAGGGCTGAAGCTTCCTCCATATGTCGTGTTCAAACGTAAAACCATCCCCAAAGTACCCATCCCGGCTGATAAGCGTTGAGTGAATAAGCCAGCACACTAGTTGTTGTTTCTTTAACTCCCTCTAACCAATCTGTCTATTTGCGTTATGTACGGCAGGTGTGGTGGTCCGTGCACAAGAGAAGGGGTGGATGGACAAAGGACTTGTGCAGGACTGGATAACCCAGGTCCTTGTGCCGTTTCTGAAGCCCATCCGCGAAGGAACCGGTCGCCGCAGGGAGTCCTTAGTCGTCCTGGACTCCTACCGCGGCCACTTGACCGAATCCGTCGGTCAGACCATGCGAATGTTCCGTCTGACACGGGCGGTCATCCCGGGGGGGTGCACCCCGCTTCTGCAGCCGCTCGACGTGTCTGTAAATCGCGCGTTCAAGGCCGGTGTGCGTCATCGCTATGGCACTTGGTTTGAAGACATCGGGATCAACACGAGGACGCGTGCAGGTGAGTTCGTCCCATGCTTAGCCGAACGTACTGTTGTGCACGCTTGCCCATGCTTTTCGTCGAACAACTCTTGCGTGCCCTGCCCATCCCTCAGGCAATTTGCAGAAGCCTCCTGCTGGGACAATTCTGCAGTGGATCGACGAGTCTTGGCGAGAGGTCCCGGAGGAGCTTGTCAAGAAGTCCTTTGTCACTTGCGGGATCTCCACCAAGCTTGACGGCAGCCAAGACCATCTCGTCCTCGCTCACCTGCGGGACAAGGGTGACGTGGAAGTGCTGGAGGATGTGAACGAGGTGGAGGAAGACGAGGTTATCGTCAACCCCTACTACGAGGAAGCTCGCGTGCCGGCCGAGGTGCTGCAGGCGGACGATGACGCCATGCATGTAGAGGAGGACGCAGAGGATGCGGAAGTGGAGGACGGAGATGCGGAGGGGTACGGGGCTGGAGAAGGCGGGGATGCAGAGGAGTGGAGCGAAGCTGGCTCGGACTGGTGGCTCCCCGACCGCTTTGACGGGGAGGAGGTTGAGGAATGGCATGGTGGGGATGATGAGGACTAAGTAGGCCGATAACCGATGCAGGAAGGAAGGAGTACCATTGATGCATGAAGGAAGGAAGGACGATGAGTAGGTAGCTAGTTCTCTGAGTGGATGCTAGAAGGTAGCTACTGCAATAAGGAAAGACTGTGATGGTTGTCTACACGCTGATTGGCCTCGAATGTAGCTTGTTTGTGCAGGTGTTAACTAGTAGAAGCTTAATCTTTGAAGCACCTATCAAATTTATGCCTAAAAAGAAAATTTTCCCTTACATACCACCCTCCCGGGTCTTATACCGGATCGGCCCAAAAGGGGGGTATAGTGGAATCCGCTATAGCACCCCCCCGCACAAGCCACCCGGGGGGTGTTCTATTTCGGCGGGTGGTATGTCCGGGTGATTACGGTACCCCGGATAAAAGCGCAGGTGCGCTTATAATAAATCAGTGTTTTTTAGGGGGGTGCGCTTATAATTGAGGTGTATGCATAAGCGCATGCGCCTATAATAAGGGAAAAAAGGAAATTCACTTTTAAACATACTAAACTGAAGCCCGCAATAAGGCGAATCCAACCGACCATGCAACAGGTGGGATCGTGCAAGGGTTTCGGCCAAAAACAGCTGCGGTTCGGTTTCCCATTGCACAATCTTGTATAGAACCATCGAACGTGACAGCAGTGACAGCCGCATGCGCTGCGTGGCATGTGCATTTCTTCCGAACCCTCTCGAAGGGTGGGGAAGATTCCCTGCCAGCGCAGCGTATATGCTGCCACGCAGGTTCCTCTACGGGGGTAGGCGGGGGTTTCCTGCCTGCCATTGACGAGGACCCCGAGCCGCCAACCCGCAGGGGTCCCCGTCGTTGCCCATTTGTGCACCCTCCTCCTCATTTTTTTCATTCAGTTTCTAGTCTAGCCCGCCTGGCTGGCGAAGCCATGGCGGAATTCAGTGGGACGCACTTCCTTTTCAAGAAGAAACCACCTCGCCCATGGCGACTTACCGCGGACGGGTGGTATACCCGTGAGCCACCAACGCCTCCAGTGCCACCTGCAGCCCCTGCACCGCCAGCTCCTCTTGCACCTCTTGCACCTCCTGCTCCTCCTGCTCCTCCCGCTCCTCCGAATCCTCCGAGTCCTCCTGTTCCTGACGCGACTTCTCATCAACGGCCCGTGGTCCAGCTGTATTTGCCAGCCACGTTCGACGAGTGGCTCTCTGAACCGGACACACCCAAGGCCCCCGATGTGTACATTGCTGCTCCGCCGACTGCAGCGCGGTGGGGAAATCATGAAGCCTGCACGTGGGACGAGCCAGCTATGGGCGCCGACGATCACGTGGCCGTCGATAAACAACCCACCGGAGACGGCGACGCTGGATGCGACGGTGGAGTCGACGGTGAAGAGGGCGCCGAGGAGGACGTGTTCCCAGATCGTGACCCAACTGACGCGGACGACGACGGTGTGGAATCTTGGTGGCGCGATGCACCACGCGAGAAGATGCCGATACCAACGTATCCACCGATTAACAAAAAACGACCCCACCCCTCCTCTGAGAACCGAGATGCCCGCCCCCCCTCTCCCAGGCACAAGCCGACTCAACATAAACGGCAGCACTACACCGCCCAGGAGAAACTGAAGTGGCTCGTTCGGCTGGAGCTTGCGTCATCGATAAGCGAGGTCACGCGGGAGTCCGGCATACACCGCAAATGCCTCACGGAGTGGAAAAACCAAGCAGAGGAGCTCAAGGCTGCACACAGTGCACGGTGTTGACTTGATGAGCGCGGAAGGTCTTCCTGGTACAGACTCATGGAGTTGAAGGTGTACGCCCAACTCCTGGACTGGCGACGCCGCGGTGTGGCCGTATCAGTCGGCCGGCTGCAAGAGTGGTCACGCGAGGTGATGAAGGTGTTGTTCCTGGAAGTGAAGTGGAAGGGGAGTCAGCGCTGGACGGAGCGGTTCCGCAAGCGGTGGAACCTCACAGTGCGAATGAAAACTAAGGTGGCGCAAAAGACACAGCAGCGTAAGTTGTCAGAATATATGTTGCATATATTGTATAAGTGCATGTAGTTCTAGCTGTAGTGTAGGTTTGTAGCTGTCCTGCTTGGTGGTTCACCACTCCTTGCATGCTTCTGACCTATTTGTACTTGCCATTCTATAGTGCAACCCCTCCTTTGCTTGAACTCCTCTCTCAAACCTAGCCTAAACCTTAGGCTAGTGGTTCTAGCTATCACTACGATTCTAACATGCTATCAGAGCCGTTACGTTCCTAGTACCTATCTCAATGGGCCCAACCTTTGTTTAGCCAATCAGAAATGCCCACAATGTGTGAGTCAACAAGTTTCCGTCGAATGTTGAATTCATAGTCAATTGTAACATGACAGGTTTGATAACATTTTGCATACACCACATATTTATTCCATTCCTTTGTGCATTGTCATTGGATAAAAGATTCTACCATTGCCACATGGAGGTGCATCCCTCCTTGCCATCGGGAAAGTGGTTGCACCCCAAGGGGTAGTAGAAAGGGGTCAGAACCTTCTTAGCTCATTCTCCAATTCCGTTCCCCAACTAATCAATTGGGAGCAAGGATTGCTCTCTCACTATTGCTTCTCTACAATTTGATACTGCAGTCTCCAGCACTCTATAGACTTGGTCAACTCTATAAGCTACTACTCTCTGTTTTGTACTAAAACCTATTTATAAGTGGGTAAATACCTTTTCTAGATGTAGAAACGTTACATTGGTATTCCGAGCTATAAGGAGATCCTCGCCTTGTGGGCATCTAAGAGGATTTTAGATTTGTTTTTTTCTTGGAGAAATAATTTCCATTGTAATTTTTCTTTTACAAACACTATGAAAACTACAAGCTATTCAAGCTCAATCTGCAATCTAATTTAAGACTTCAACTCCTTCCCCCCTCCCTATTGGTGGAACCATTATAGAGCTGTTGGTTCTTTGACAACATCACAAAAAACCTTGGTTTTTGAAGGGGGTTCGGAGGGGGGTACAGTTCAGGTGTTTTGGTTGGCGAAGTTCCGAAATAAATTCGTGACCAATCACGGGATGAAATCGGACCGCGTTTGTTTGTCGGAGTCGAAATCGAATCCGCGACTCCGGTACATTGTCGTTTATTTGGAGCGTGCCAAATTTGGGATCCATTTGTAATTGGTTTTCTTAGTTTTGACTTCTCTAAATTTCCCATGCTGGAAAACTAAGCTGGCCATTTTTTTACAAGATAAATGCATCACATCTGATACTTATTAAGGAGATAGGTACTGTCCAGATAGAAAGCCTTCACCACATGGACGTGGCGGAGCAGCGCTTCAATCGGAATCACAGAATACGCGTACATTAATCGGAATCACGGAATACGCGTACATTCCTGTCGTCCACTTGAGGCGAAGGCATCCGGTTGCAGCATCCTCTCCGCTTGCATACCAATATCTAACGTAAGCCAGCTCCTCCCTCTCTCTCTACGTAATTTTGTATGGAACAACAAGAGCAACCTTGCATACCACTCCTCTCTCCGACCATACCTTACACCCTCCACTGCAACATCCGAGTACCATGGCCTCTCAAAATAGTCAGGGGTCGCTCGAACGAAGTGAGAAACTCTTGAGAAGCTGGCGTCGTCTGCTGCAGGGATTGCCAGCGATGCATGGGCCTGCATAACAGTTGATGTTAGTCATGTATAGGGTAAGCCAGCCAAATGACGATTGATTGCATACACTATCAACTACCGTACTTACTCGAATCTTGGTGACGCATCCTGCATAACGTATAAGCGCATCCTTGAGGGCAGCTTGTGCAACAGGGTGTTGCATGGCCCACTTCCTTGCAAACCAGTTGGTGGAGGTGGGTTCTTCTGGTAACTCCACAGGGAGGAAGTACGACTCTTTGATAAGAGTCCGTGTGTCGGTCTCAATTGCCTGCCAACATATGCTATTGATATTATTACATTCTGCATTCATATCCATGCAATTCAAGCACTAAACAGATTTACCTGCCGCATGGCGGTGTCCCGGCCAGCAGGATCATCCACCGGCACCACATCCGGAATACGTCTAGCATGGAACTTCATGATCTGCCCATCTACATTGCGCTTGTTGGACCGACGGTAAATCCTCTTTACCAACGGTCCGTGCAAGTGCTCAAACAAGTTGGTGCTGAATTCGGTCACATGACCCGCGCGACGAATGGAGTCGATGTAGTGCGACCAAGGCACCAAGAGGATGGCTGTTTGGGAAAGGCAGCCTGCAACTGCTCAACGAGCCTGGTGGGAGTGGGAGATGACAACACATGCAGTCACATCAGAGTCTATTTATTCATATGGTTTTTCTATTCCTAATCCTTTCCTATCGTAGTTTAGCAGCAATATCCTCAGATTGCCTATTACAAGAGCACATTTACAGTAGCCAAGCATTCATCCCATGCACAGGGGTTTACATGCGTAGTATTAGTACCGGAAGGTCATCTTCTTCAGCTCCAGGAGGGACCGCTCAGTGTGCCCCTGTGGCTGGGAGCACAGGAGGTACCAGCCAAGATAGGCACGAACGGCATCCATCTGGGGCTGGCGAAGCAGGCCAGCAAAGACAAACACCATGACCTGCAAAATTCAACGGTGAGCAGCAAAGGGGAGGGTGAGCACAGATGGTGTGAGGAGTAGGGACAAAGAGTGGCAGCATGAGCAGACTGGTAGAGGGGCGGTCAGGACAAGCAACAGGGAACGGAGGGAGGGGCAGGCAGCAGGTGTGTGGGTTTAACATGGATTCGGGCGGTAATGTGTATCAGGTGCAGCCTATCGCACAAGGCGTTAACATTCAGGGCACCTGCATGACGGCCCTGTGCTCATAGGCCGCGACACATGCTCCGGTCTCGAAGTAGGCTCTCTTCGGCAGGCGCATGTGATTCAGGCGCGTGCGGTCGCGAATGAGGGACAGGCGCCTGCCCATACACATCAGTTCAACGGTGGTACAAGGGCAGAAACATGTCAGTAAGAGGACAGTGCTTATGCTTTGAGTAAATGTGACCGAGAGCAACGAATCCAATCCCCAAAGCACTGACCTGTCCATCTGCTTCACACGCCGCTTCTTCATCTTGCGCACGACAGCCACAATGTGGCTCATGATGCCCAGGTCCGCCTGGTGCATGATGTCAGGCATGATAACGAGGTAGGGATTGCCCCACACGGTCCCTGGGACATCCCACTTCCAGAGCACGCACTGGAAATGGGGATGCGGTTTGGAATGAAGGAGAAATGTACTTGTCAGAATGGATAGCTAACCAAAACCACATGTGGGGTGATTTCAATGGGGCAGAGCATATCTGGCAATTCATGATGGGGCGGGCGACTGCATAGACAGAAGATTAGCCCGGAAACAGGTCACTCACCTCAACAGGGTAGGTAGAGTAGGTCTTGCACGGGTTGTTCTGGCTAGTTTTCGTCCCAGCCGCCTCGTTAACGATCCATTGCTGCTGTTCAGGCGTGCGCGGCGTGTTCCGTGCCTTGACAGCCCCCAGATGCTCCTGGTGTAGCACGGGGGTGAGGGATGGGATACGAAGGTATGGGTGGTAACTATATGGGTTATATCAGGCGACACTCAAACGAAAATGTGTTCGAATGCGTGCACATGCTATGTGACCTCACCTTTGCAGCATAGCAGATGCTGCACGGCATCCGCGATCCATGCGAGAGTGTGCAACTGATCTTGCTGCTCTCAGGGTAGTTGCACACCCAGGCATAGAGCAGGGGCCGCACGGTTTGCCAATCACCAAAAGGGTCTCTGAGACGGAACGCGCTGCAAGGAACAGGTAGAGTGGCAACAGGAATTCGGAGGACGGCTTTTAGGGAGGAACGAAGAGGGGCAAAGGGGCAGGCAACATACAGAGACGCTTTGCGCACAACGGATCAACGGAGGCATGCGCACGGATCTGGTTTTGGGTGGTTGGATGATGACATAGCAAGATGCAACCCGAGTACGAACCTTTCCATGCCATCAAGAAGCGGCTGCAGCACGGTGATGACGCATCGCTGGAAGAGCATCACCTTCTCCACGGCAGACATTGCAGACGGGGGGATAGGAAGGAGGGCAAGTAGTGTGTGCCCGGCTTTCCCCCATCGCTTGGCCTGGGAGATGTTGGCCAGCGTCATCATGAGCGGCCACGCCTTCTTCCGGCCGTTGTTGCTCATGTGCGTCACATCCAAATATAGGATGACCCCCCCCCAACTTCGGACCATCCGAAGTGTTCCTGCAATGCACGATAAAGAGGGAACAGACACACGGTCAAACACCACCAAGGTAGCTTGTCGCCAGGCGGATTAAGCCTGCTTTAAATCACTCCCAAGGAACATGACACAATGAAGATGCTCCATACACATCGGCGCATCAACAGAGGCATGCGCACGGATCTGGTTTTGGGTGGCAACGGGGTGTTTCCATACTTGAGCATCGTTCCACCACGTTCCTGTTTCTGGCGTGGTATAGCGACGCTCGCCTGTGCGACGCTCGCTTGTGTTGAAGGTTTTGATGTTTTGAATTGTTGTATTTTTTAAATTTATGTAGCTCCTATGTGCAACACTGTGCATTCGCGACAGCACTGCAGGGATCAGGTTACATTCGCACATGTGGTTCTGAAACCGTCATACCATGCGTAGTGATTGATGCGTTGGCAAACGTGATTGGCCGATGCATCTCAAACGATTCCCCACGCAACACAAGCACCAGCCAAGAGGTACTTCCAACCCTGGGTGGCTGAGATCGAGCGGGATGCGGGTTTATGCTCGGGTGGCTACACGTACACCGTCTGTTATAGCCTGATAGGGTTACAGTAATCCCTCTAGTCTCGCAACCCACCCCAACCACACTCGTGCCCCACCCACCTGCTTCCGTCACCCTCTGGGCCATCACTTTGACGCTGCTCGCTGTTTGACAAGCCCGTTTCCAGATCGCTCGTGACTCACCAGTATACTAAGTCATGGGCCGTAGCTATGTGCGTAGTGGCTAATATTTCAGTGTAAGTTGTCGCGGCGGTTTTCGGAGGAAGATAAAAGTGATAGACCGTCGATAATCCCATTGTGGGATTCAGTTGCGGCACCCCTTCGAAACGGGCTAACCCGTTCCGCGCGATAGAAATTGGCATTCCTACAACAACCATGATACGTGCCACACGTCAACAAGCAATGGAGGAGGAACAGGCCGAACGCCGCCCGGCAAGGACGATGTCTAAACGCATCGATAGGGAGGGTGGCGGCGGCGCTAAAAAAACTAATGCGTCCGTCGCGCGTGGCACTGGGCTGAAAAAAATGGCGGCAAAGAAGGTCGCGCGCGGTCAAGAGAAGACCGGCATGAAGGCGGAAGACAACGGGAAGCAACCAGGGCCACGCAAGCGTGTTTCTACAGTGAACAAAGATGCGGATGTTGCCTCTGCTGGCACCGTGCCTGGTCAGACTCACGACGGCACCAGTGGCGGCAACGAAGATCCGGGGCGAGGGAGCGTGAGTCTTGCAGTCCCGTCGGCCGAGAGAGAGGGATCGACGACAGGGGGAAACCACGGAGGCGATCCCCGTGCCGAGCATGCCGCAACCAAGGAGTCAGAGGCGGAGGCATCACAACACCATCTGACGCTGCTCCAGCCGACCGCGGTCGAAATTTCTGCTGCCGTGCTGGATAAGGACAAGGTGGGGGAGCACGAGTCGATGGGGGATCCTAAACACAGCATCCCGACGTCGGTGGATCTCCTCCTTCTGGTGGACGAGGGAGGCGTAGGCAAAGGAAGAGCGATGAGGAGGACGATTATGATACCGCCATGCCCGGGGACATCACCACGCTGGCGAAGAGGCGGCAGACGACAGGCAGTGCTGACGACGCCGGTGGCGCGGAAGTTGGGACAACGCGAGGCGCCAGTGAAGCTAGTGGCAAGGCGATGGGTCATGAATTGTGCCAGAAGGGCCGACCTGGGGCAAGAAAAACATCCAGCGGAAAGAGGGGCAAGACAGTAGCGATGAGGATGAGGCCGAAATGGGGTGATGAAGACCCTGCTGGCGCCGAGGACGCGGATGATGAGGAGGAGGATGCGGAGGAAGAGGAGGATGAAGTGGATGCGGAGGAGGATGACGCGGATGATGGGGAGGATGAAAAAAGATGAGAATGATGGCGAGGAGGACGAAGAGGAGGAGGAGGAGGAGGAGGAGGAGGAGGGCGGCGACGATGATGAGGAGGAGGAGGAGGAAGATGAGGAGGAGGCTGAGGAGGAGGAGGAGGAGGAGGAGGATGAGGAGGAGGAGGAGGAGGAGGAGGAGGAGGAGGAGGAGGAGGAGGAGGAGGAGGAAGAGCAGGGGGACGACGAGGAGGAGGATGAGTAGGAGGAGGAGGAGGAGGAGGCAGAGGAGGAGGAGGAGGAGGAGGAAGAGGAGGAGGAGGAGGAGGAGGAGGAGGAGGAGGAGGAGGAGGTGGCGGCAGTGAAGGGACGGGGCGGGCGTGGCAGACGGCAGAGTGGTACAGGGAAGGTGGGGGGCCGGACTCGCCATTCCCGGAAACGCGGGGCGGTTGACGCCGCGCGCGGCGAAGCAGCTGGCAAACCGAAGGCGTGTAAGGTGAAGGTCGAAAGTGAAGGGGGTGGGAAAAAGCAAGGGCGCCAGGGAGCAAAAGGGGATGGAGGAGGAAAGGGTGGCTGCACCAAAAGGGTTCCAGTAGGTACTGGCAAGAAAGAACCTGCCGGTAAACGTCGCAGCGGCCGCCAAAGCACCCCGTGGAAAGGTGGCAACGAGAAGGCGCTGGCAGCAAAAAAAACGAAGGGCCAGCAGAAAAGTGAGAACCCTGACCAATACACCTGGCGTTTTCCTTGCACTCTCTGCTCAACCGTGCCAAATAACAACATTCTTCACTTGGTTTCTCCCATGCAGGGAAGGAGAAGGTCGACGAATCTGCAAAGCAAGGTAAAGCCTCTTGTCTCAAAACAGTACAACCCTAAACCCGAATTAGAGTCAAACCATTGATCTCATGCATGCCTGTCTGGCCCTGTATTGATACCGATCGACTCTAATTTCTTGATCCTACTCCCTCTAAATCTCATTCCCTCGCGTTACAGGCATTGGGCCACCGGTAAGCGTGCAACGGATGCAGCTAACGAAAGGGGCCGGAAGAGCGAGTGTTACACCGCTATCCACAGAAGCACCAAGGTTCTACACGCCATACTCCGGCTTGAGCAAAGTCGCTGCGACGGCACCCGGCGCGCCAAGAGGAGAGGAATCCGAATCCCCTCCACCAGCCCCCGTCACGCACTCCCCACTCGCCTCACCCTCGTGTCAGAATCCCAGCCACTAACCACTGGGATAAAAGGGCTTGTTTGTGTAGCGGGTGAGTGTGCCCATAACCCCCCAGGCCGCCATGCCTGTAACCCTTCCCTAGGATCAATCGGGGATCACCAGTGGACCTCTGACACCTCGTACCCATTTCGGCCACTACACGCTTCTCCTGTCCGGGGCAGGGCGGTCTCCCCCCTCGCCGGTCCTTCGCGCGGGCATCAACCAAGCACTTCTGCCAATCCCTTCCCTGAGCTCCCCTTTTTCCGCCAGCGTGATAGTGCGAGGGCACACAGGACTGCTGCAGAAGACGTTGATCCCCTTGGCCAGAGGGGGGATTCTTCACACCCTTTTCCTCCGCTCATGTGTGCCCTAGGTGAAAGTGCGGAGCACGAGCAGTTTGTTACACGGGAGGAGTAGGCGTTGCGGTCTGAGATGTACGCCATGTTTGCACAGCTCGGCCTGCATCGTGGAGTACCTGCCAGTTATGCCGGCGGTTCCACAGCCATGCCTATGGCTGGTACCCCTCCGCCGATGAGTGTAGTGGACAAGGCACGAGTGCTAGTGTTGCGGGAGACAAACCCATTCCCGGTATGTGGCGGGCCCAAATGGGGCGGGTGAGGGTTGACGTGGCAACAGGGCGGGGTTGGGGCTGACGTGGCAGTTTTTAGGGGTACACTGGAGTGGCTGATGACGAGGCAAGGCGTTTCAGGTGGGTGGGGGGTGACGTGGCTCTTGGTGGGGGGTGTGACGTGGCGAGTGGGGTGGGTTGTTGGTGGACGTGGCGGATGCAGGAGGGTATGACGTGGAAAACAGGGCGGGGTTGCGGATGACGTGGCGGTTGGAAAGGGTACACTGGAGCGGCTGATGACGAGGCAAGGCGTGTCAGGTGGGTGGGGGGTGACGTGGCTCTTGGTGGGGGGGTGTGACGTGGCGAGTGGGGTGGGTTGTTGGTGGACGTGGCGGATGCAGGAGGGTATGACGTGGCAACCAGGGCGGGGTTGCGGATGACGTGGCGGTTGGAAAGGGTACACTGGAGCGGCTGATGACGAGGCAAGGCGTTTCAGGTGGATGGAGGGTGACGTGGCTCTTGGTGGGGGGGTGTGACGTGGCGAGTGGGGTGGTTTGTTGGTGGACGTGGAGGATGCAGGAGGGTATGACGTGGCAACCAGGGCGGGGTTGCGGATGACGTGGCGGTTGGAAAGGGTACACTGGAGCGGCTGATGACGAGGAAGGCGTTTCAGGTGGGTGGGGGGTGACGTGGCTCTTGGTGGGGGGTGTGACGTGGCGAGTAGGGTGGGTTGTTGGTGGACGTGGCGGATGCAGGAGGGTATGACGTGGCAACCAGGGCGGGGTTGCGGATGACGTGGCGGTTTTAAGGGGTACACTGGAGCGGCTGGTGTTTCAGGTGGGTGGGGGGTGACGTGGCGCGTGGTGGGGGGGTGTGATGTGGCGAGTGGGGTGGGTTGTTGGTGGGCGTGGAGGGTGTATAACGGCAAGTTCACACTGTGCTGCTAATCACCATCCCATGGTCACCCAGACACAATCATAACTGCTGGTTTTATTTATGCTGTATCATATACCCTACATCCCTGCGCAGAACAAAGCCTACTTAGTGACCTCTCAGCTCATGTTCCTGAACCCGCCGGCAAAAATCCAGTACTACCCTGCACCGGAGGAAGTGTTCGAAGCGTTCTCTGTCCACTTGTCTGCAGAAGGGCTCGAGTCAATGAAGCTGCTGTGGTTGCACAATGACAAGCAAACCATGGGTGTCTTCAACCACCATATGTCATCAACGAGGTCAACTATCGACTCCAGCCTCAGGCCAGCAACATACGCCGGCATGGGCCTCTCCAATTACGCCCATCTCGTGGATAGCCTGCCCACTGAGCTACACCCAAAGAAGTGGTTCAATGACGAGGAACACCTGGCCGAGTACAGAGATGGTATGTGCGACTCGAACACACCATATCCCCCACCATATGCCAGTTGGCATCTACCAATAACCGTGCGGTGTTCCTCACCCTGACTCTCACCCCCCCACTTGATTTCTCTGCACCCCCTTTCCAACCCATACGCTCCCTCCCTGCCACAATGCAGAACAGTGGGCCCTCAACTGGCACTTTGACAAGGCCACTGGGACGCCCTTCAGCAACCCCTTATTTGCTTATGCATTCAAGATCTCCTTCAAGAGGGGCGGGGTCGTGTTCACCAAGTTCAAGAGCCGCATGGTGGCATGGGGCCTGTTTTCGGTAAGGATGTAGATATGTGTCTGTGTCAAACATTATATATGTTGGGTTTGTTAGGCTACAGTGGGTTAGCCTATATGGGGTACACAATTCTAGGGTTTGCTATTTGTACTGATTTCTCTGTTAGTTCAATCATTCCAGTCTCTTCTTTTGACATGGTTTCAGAGCAGGTCCTTCGTTAGGACCGTTCTTAGGGCCCACCACTGAATACCTACCTACCTATCTACTGTCGGAGTGCTGCGTTAGCGCCTCCCCCTCTCAGCGCCCTAGTGCGCCCTCATGTACTGCCCCTTAAGGCTTCGTTGACCCCGCGCGCCGCCCCTTAGTGACCCGCGCGTCGCTCCTTAGAGGCCCCGTCGACCCGCGCGCGCCCCGCTTAAGGCCCCGTTTGGCCCCGTCGACCCGCCCGCGGCCCGCTTAGTGGCCCCGTTTAGCCCCGTCAACCCGCGCGCGCCCCACTTACGGCCCCGTTTGGCCCCGTCGACCCGCCTGCGCCCCGCTTAGAGGCCCCGTTTGGCCCCGTCGACCTACGCGCGCCCCGCTAACGGCCCGTTTGGCCCCGTCGACCCGCACGCGCCCCGCTTACGGCCCCGCTTGACCCGTCGACCCCGCGCGCGCCCCGCTTAGAGGCCCCGTTTGGCCCCGTCGACCTGTGCGCGCCCCGCTTAGAGGCCCCGTCGACCCTATCCGCCGCCCCAAAGCGGCTCCGTCGACCCTACCCGCCGCCCCTACCCGCACCGCACGCGACAGCCGCGGCCCCGCCAGCAACAGGCCGCCCGAACCGAGCCGCCCAGTCCGAGCCGAGCCGAGCAGCCAGAACCGAGCCGCCCTACCTCCGTCGCGCTGCCCACTGCGTTTAGGACTCACTTACTGCTACTGCTACGGCTACTCCTACTGCTACTATGGCTACCCCGCCTGTACTAGCTTTCGATGCTGAGGGCCGCCCAGTGAAGTTTGATACTTGGCTTGATGACCTGCACCTCTTCCTACAGCTCACTGCCAAGGAGGATATCTCACTGTATGACCACGCCCTCGGCCATGCTCCTGCCCCTGCTACTGATGCTGACAGCACTACCCGCTCACAGTGGCAGACTCGTGACGCCCACGCTCGCTTTGCCATCCGCAACTCCCTGCCGTTAGATGAGCGCAGAGTCAGCAGTCCGCCCCGACGCTTCAGGCTGCCCGTGAGTGGTATGCGCAGCGTAGCGTTACCTGCACGTACGTCATTCGCACAGGTGACCGCCGCGGCCAGCAGTGTGGGAGGCCGCACCCCACGCAGCGCTGCTTCGCCCGCCTTACCGACGCGTGGCGCACCCAGTTTCCTACTGCCGCTGAGCTGCCGCGCTGGCCTGAGCTGGAAAAGAGGGGCGTTGATATTTGGGCTTTAGACTTTGATGCTATTCTCACTGCCATGTATGCGATGTCTATTAGTGGAGAGGGTGCTCAGTACTTGCGTGTTCCGCCCGACCCGGGTATTCAGGCCAGTCCAGCTGCCGCTCTAGGTGCTAGTGCGTCCGCTCCCGCAGGTCCTGGTGAGGCTGCTGCCCTAGGTGCTAGTGCGTCTGTGCCCCCTGGTACTGAGTCGACTGCAGCACTGCACACCTTCACACTGGACTCAGGTGCTTCTCGCTCTTTCTTTCGTGACCGCACTGTCCTTGAGCCCCTCGCTCGGCCAGTTGCTGTCTCCCTTGCTGACCCCTCTGGGGGTCCGGTCATTGCGACCTCCTCCACTGTCCTTCCTTGTCCGGCCGTCCCGTCCGGCACGCTGTCAGGTCTCTACCTCCCCTCGTTCTCTACGAACTTGGTGGCAGGTAGTGCGCTCCAGGACGGGGGTGTTCACCAGTTCACCCCTGCCTACGAGCGCGTGACACACTGCACGTGTGCTCGGACGGGTCGCCACCTGGCTACCTTCACTCGGGAGCCGGGGTCGGACCTTTACACACTGACCACTGTGTCCCCTCAGGTAGCTGCGTCTGCGTCCGCGTCTGCGTCTGCGTCAGGTCAGCTGTCCGCCCCCTGCTCGTGTCGCTCTCTGGCACATGAGACTGTCCTTTGGCACCACCGCCTTGGTCACCCGTCTGTGCAGCGCCTTCGGGCCATGCACCAGCGGGACCTTGTTGCTGGTCTTCCCAGGGTGCTCCCTCCCCTTCCCGACTCGCCTGCTCCTCCCTGTATTCCCTGTGTCGAGGGACGGCAGCGCGCCGCTCCTCACTCCTCCTCCTTTCCCCCGACGACTGCCCCCTTGCAGACGCTCCACATGGACGTGTGGGGCCCAGCCCGCGTCCGTGGTCAGGGTCAGGAGAGGTACTTCCTGATTGTTGTTGACGACTTCTCGCGCTACACCACGGTCTTCCCCTTGCGCACCAAGGGTGACGTCCCTGAGGTCTTGATCCCTTGGATCCGCAGATCTCGTCTCCAGCTCCGTGAGCGTTTCCGCTCCGACTTCCCTGTCCTGCGTCTGCACTCTGACAGGGGTGGGGAGTTCTCCTCTGGCCTATTGGAGGCCTTCTGTCAGCAGGAGGGCATTGAGCAGTCGTACACGCTTCCGGCCTCTCCACAGCAGAATGGGGTTGCTGAGCGCCGCATTGGTCTGGTCATGGAGGTCGCTCGTACCTCCTTGATTCATGCGGCTGCCCCCCATTTTCTGTGGCCGTTTGCAGTCCGATACGCTGCGCATCAGCTCAACCTCTGGCCCCGTGTCTCCTTGCCCGAGACTTCTCCGACACTGCGTTGGACGGGAGAGACTGGCGATGCATCGCGTTTTCGGGTCTGGGGATCCCGAGCTTTTGTCCGCGACACGTCCGCGGACAAGCTCTCCCGTCGCGCTGTCCCCTGCGTCTTCCTTGGCTTTGTCCCGGACGCCCCTGGTTGGCAGTTCTACCACCCCACCTCGCGGCGTGTCCTGGCCTCTCAGGACGTCACTTTTGACGAGTCCGTCCCCTACTACCGCCTCTTCCCCTACCGCACTGCCCCGCTCCCCCCCCCGCCTCTCTTCCTTGCTCCAGGTGCTGAGGTACCAGACCCCCTCCCCCCTCAGGGTGCCGCTCCCTCAGGTGTGTCCCAGGTAGACCCGGGTGAGCCTGTCGAGGTAGCTGTTGACTCTCGTCCTGCTCGGGGTGCTGAGCCTGGGGGTGCTGCGTCTGGGGGTACTGAGCCTGGGGGTGCTGAGTCTGGGGGTGCTGAGCCTGGAGGTGCTGCGCCTGGGGGTGCTGCGTCTGGGGGTGCTGAGCCTGAGCGTGCTACACCTGGAGGAGCCCTCTCCTCCCAGCAGCTGCAGGAGAGGTACCTCGAGTACTGCCGCCTCCGGAGAGGTGCTGCTGGAGCTCGTCCCGGTACTTCCCCTCCTCCCCAGGAGCTCCCCCCCATTCAGCAGATCCGCGAGTGGTACACACGGCGCTGCAGTCTTCGGAGTGGTGCTCCTGGTGCTGCGGACCCTGGGGGTGGCGCTGCTGCTGGTGCTGAGGACCCGGACGTTGGAGCTGCTGCTGGTGCTGCGGACCCGCCTGGTGGAGCTGCTGCTGGTGCTGAGGACTCGGACGTTGGAGCTGCTGCTGGAGCTGAGGACCCGGGCGGTGGCGCTGCTGCTGGTACTGAGGACTCGGACGGTGGAGCTGCTGCTGGACCTGAGGACCCGAGCGGTGGCGCTGCTGCTGCTTCTGAGGACCCGGGCGTTGGAGCTACTCCTGGTGCTGAGGACCCGGCCGGTGGAGCTGCTGCTGGTGCTGTGGACCCGGCCGCTGGAGTCTCCTCTGCTTCTGGAGACGCTGCGCGGCCGCGACCGTACTTCGTACCGCTCCTTCAGCAGGTTCTTGGGCAGGCTCCTCCTCCTTGTCCTCCTCCCTCCGTAGAGTGTCCTCTGCCTGTCCAGTCGCAGTCACAGTTACCACCTACCTCGCCTCTCCCTGCTCCCTCTCCTTACACTGGTCCCACAGGAGGTCTTACAGAGCGTCGTGAGCCTGAGTCTCGTCCTGCGTCGCCTGTTCGTCCTGCTCGCACTGGTAGTCGTGTCCGTCGTGAGCGTCCTCCTCCTGTCCCAGGCACTCACTACATGACTCTACGTCCCTCTACTGCTCCTCAGCGTGTCCCTCTACCGTCTCCTCCCGCGTCTTCTTTGCCTCACGTTCCGGACCCTGAGTCTGACCGGTACCGTGCTGAGCACCCTACTGTCACGCGTCTCCTCGCTACTGTTGTCACTGACCCTACCTTTGAGTCCTCTACTGCGTCTGCTCTGGTCGCTGAGTTGGTTGACTTTGCTGCTGCCTGTCGCCTAGACTACGCTGCTAGCCTTGTTGCTGAGTCTGAGTCTGAGTCTGTCTGTCCTCCGTCCGTCGGGGGTGAGTGTGCTCTTGGCACGGACGTCCTTGAGGACAGACAGGAGGAGTTCCAGTGTCTTGCTGCTGCTTTGCCCCGTCTCGTGTCCTTGCTAGTTGCCCCTGAGGGAGACCCGGATGCACCAGACATCCCGACCCCACGCACTTACGCTGAGGCGATGGCGGGTCCCTACTCCTCTCAGTGGCAGACGGCCATGGACGCCGAGATGGCTTCCTGGAAGTCCACACGCACCTACGTCGACGAGGTTCCCCCTCCTGGGGCGAACATCGTCAGTGGCATGTGGATTTTCAGGGTGAAGCGGCCGCCGGGTTCTCCGCCTGTCTTCAAGGCGCGTTACGTGGCTCGAGGCTTCAGTCAGCGAGAGGGAGTTGACTTCTTCCATACCTTCTCCCCCACCCCGAAGATGACCACTCTTCGGGTGCTGCTGCACATAGCCGCTCACCGCGACTACGAGCTTCACTCACTTGACTTCAGCACTGCCTTCTTGCAGGGCAGCCTGCACGAGGAGATCTGGCTGCGCCGCCCACCTGGCTTCACTGGGTCGTTTCCTCCTGGTACCCAGTGGAGGCTTCAGCGGCCGGTCTACGGTCTCCGCCAGGCTCCGCGTGAGTGGCACGACACACTGAGGACTACACTTGCGGCTCTTGGGTTTGCGCCTTCTACAGCTGACCTGTCGCTGTTCCTGCGCACCGACACTTCGCTGCCGCCGTTCTACATCCTCGTGTACGTCGACGACTTGGTCTTTGCCACTGCTGACACTGCAGGACTCGCCTACGTGAAGTCAGAGCTGCAGAGGAGACACACGTGCACAGACCTGGGTGAGCTGACAAGCTATCTTGGCTTGCGGATCACCCGGGACAGAGCACGGCGCACCATCACCTTGACTCAGTCACACATGGTGCAGCAGGTTCTCCAGCGCTTTGGCTTCACGTACTCCTCGCCTCAGTCCACTCCTCTGCCTGCCGGTCACTCGCTCTCAGCTCTGCCTTCGGATGAGTCCGTAGAGCCGAGTGGCCCGTATCCAGAGCTTGTGGGCTGCCTCATGTACCTGATGACCTGCACTCGACCTGACCTTGCATACCCTCTTAGCATCCTTGCACGCTATGTCGCTCCTGGCCGTCACAGGAAGGAGCACATGGATGCCGCTAAGAGGGTGTTGCGCTACTTGTGCAGTACGTCGGGCATGGGGCTTGTGCTTGGAGGGCGAGACCGAGTTGTGCTCACAGGGCACTCAGACGCTTCTTGGGCAGATGACCAGGCCACTCAGCGGTCGTCTCAGGGTTACACCTTCAGCCTTGGCTCTGGCTCAGTTTCTTGGCGCTCTACACGCTCTTCTTCTGTTCTCGGCTCCAGTTGCGAGGCTGAGATCTACGCTACAGCCATGGCTGCCCAGGAGCTACGCTGGCTGACCTACCTGCTGACTGACCTCGGAGAGCCGCCTCGTTCTCCTCCAGTACTGTACGTCGACAACAAGGCTGCCATTGCCTTGTGTGAGGAGCACCGACTGGAGCACAGAACGAAGCACATCGCTCTGCGGTACTTCCTTGCTCGAGAGCTGCAGCAGCGCGGTCAGCTTTGTATTCGCTACGTGGCCACTGAGGCCAACACTGCTGATGTGTTCACCAAGGCGCTTCAGCCTCGTGACCATCAGCGTTTCTGCACTCTACTTGGCCTTGTGCCTACTGGACCTCACTTGCTTACCTCTTGACTTTACTTGTACTGTGATCACTATATATATCTATACCTGCATGTTTACTCTTGCTAGGTTGTGATCACTGTATCCCTTGTTATAAACCTGCATGTGAACTGGTCTTGTGACCACTAGCTTGTGCTCGGAATTTGTGTGGAATCCTCGAGATCCACCCTGAGCTTGTTGTTGCCTTGCTTTGCCTTGACTGGTCTTGTGACCCCTAGGTCTCCCCCACTTTGCCTATGGGGGTGTGTCAAACATTATATATGTTGGGTTTGTTAGGCTACAGTGGGTTAGCCTATATGGGGTACACAATTCTAGGGTTTGCTATTTGTACTGATTTCTCTGTTAGTTCAATCATTCCAGTCTCTTCTTTTGACAGTCTGTACACTCATGCCTCATCCCCTACACCCCTTGCCTGTACTTCATCAAAATCTCTGGTCGCTTAGGGGTTTGCGGTTACATAGGCCCTAAACTCTGAAATCACCGCTTTCAATTGGCTCATATACCCGTAACCCCCCCTCATACACCATCCATCCAACCCTACACCACATTGCAGATCGAGTGGCCCCTTCTGCAGGACAAGCGCCGCAAGCGAATTCCGGCCCAGCCGGAACAAAACAGGCCGGACTACTTCGAATGGTGTGAGAAGGTCAAACAGATGATACACTTCGCCAGCATGGAGCGGCGGATCCCACACGATCCGGCTCAGGGTGCGTTCGTCTTCCCGAACAAGTTCCTCATCGACGATGGCGACCTTGGAGATGTTGTTCTTGCCCACCGGGCGCTTGCAGGGCCCAGCATTGCGTAGGCTATTGGACCTAGTGTTAAAACTGCTGGTTATTAGAATACTGAATAATGGTTGTTGTGAACCAAAAAAGTCAAGTAAATTTGAAATGCTAAAAATGTAAAATGAACTAAACCATGATGTAGATTTGAATAAAATGGTCCCGAATTTGCACCAAAACGGGTTGCGCCCGAAAGCCACCCTGAAAATCTCGCAAGCCAAATCGGAACTTATTCCGAGCCAAACATTGTCGCGAGATGTGTCTCGGAGCTCCTATCAAATGACTCCAACCGTCGGGGCAAATTCGTTCCCGCTTTTTTAACGCGAACTCAATCGAAATCAAAATTCGTCAAAAATTGGCATAGGGTTTTTGTGATGAACCTGTATGGTTTTAATCATTTTGTTGAAAACTATCACTTTGAATTTTGTCTTGCCGTATCTACTGCAATGGCGAGGATATTGTGCAACAGATTGATTTTCCTTTAGCTATGGTTTTAAGGTTAAATAAATAAATTTCTCCTTTGGTACAAATCCTAGTTATTCACTGCAGTAGTAACAAATTGCAATAGATCTGTAACCTTTTGTAGTAATATACAATGATTCTGCTCGACAATGGCTTCCAACTATCATGCTGGTGGTGATGAAGGCAACAATTCCCATGCTGAACTTGAAGCTTCTATGCAGAAGATTGACTTGAACAATATGGAAGAGAAGATGGCTAAATATGGCACTGCTGAAGATTTATTTGCTAAGAACTCTCCAGCTGCTGAAAACTCCACGGCGCAGGAAGAGGAGTCTAAGGAGGAGGAAATCTTGCATGCTAAAATTGCTAAGCTGCAAGATTATGTTGCTGAGCAGGACACGCACATCCAGTAGCAACAGCCACTCATCTTCACGCTCAAGGGGGGGCTCTCTAACAAAGACAACAAAATCAAGTACTTGGAAGTTGAGCTTAAGAACATGAATTCAAATGCACGGGAGCATGTTCACCAATTGGCAAGGCAGACTTAAAAAACCAGCGAGGTGCAGGAGGCTTTCAAGTTCTTCGACGGGAGACCATGTTTCGCCCTACACTGCAAGAAAATCCACCCGCCCACTTTGCTTGTACTTTATCGATGCCGCCTTGAGAAGCTGTAGTGCGGGAACCGTACAGTTCAGCAGTACGCTGTGGAGTTCGAGGAGATCTGGGTGCTCCAGAAACCGGCGGAACGTATTAGCAAAGGTTAGAAGATCCACCTCTTCGTCAAGGGCCTGCATGCGCACCTCCAGAGCATGCACATGACGGATGGGGCTGGGGAGTCGTGGAGGTCCTACGATCACGTGAAGCACGTGGTAGGGACCACAAATAAGCATTTCCGTGCTTATGCAAAAACTACTACACAGCCGCAGCAGGCCTCAAGGCCGTCGTCTAGCCCTATGGGTCCAAGCGGAAGGCAGCAGGCAATGCTTTGGAAGGGTGGGAACCACTAGAGGCCTTTCCAGCAGGGGCAACAGGGTGAGCACAAGGCCAGGAAGGTCAACGAGGGTGGACGAAGCAATGTCCAAAGTTGCTTCAAGTGCGGCAAGCCTGGTTACAAGGGTTATGAGTGCCGCCACTGCAAGTCGATAAAGTACTCTGGCAAGCCTAAAACGGACAATAGGTGTCATGACGGCAGTGGCCCCTCGGGTAGCCAGCGGGTTTTTGCTAAGCTTAACTAGGGGGTGGGTATGTAGCGAGCACAATAGATCGAGGCAGTAGTCCTTGGGGATGAGGAATTGTTGAAACTCGAGTGCCGTGCTGATTGCAATATCTCATATTTAGATGCATTTTCTGTTAATGAAAGTTCTTTGTTTGCCTCAATTTCACCCACTCGAAAGTGTCACAGTTGAAACATTACGAGACAAAATCTCCATTATTTGTTGTGATCAGCAAATTTTGCCTTGGATAATGGATGTGCTGGGTCGTTGTACCCAAGCGCACCCTCTACTTACGGTTGGATTGGTAACGCACACAATTTGAGGCACAATATGTCGAACACTTCAAGGATGGAGCGTGCTAGCGCGGTGGGATAAAGGACACCATGTGTGGTGGACACAAGCTCGTTCTTTTGGACGTAGCAAGCACATCATTAAGGTGTATTACTTGCTTCCCACTAATATTTCAGCATGTCCTATCCGGCCTAAACATCAGCAGATCCTTTTATATTTTTTGGTCGCGCAAATGGGCGCAGTGCTTTGATCCTGGTTGATACATGCGACTGCTTCATTGATCAATAAGAAGAGGATGGAATTATTTAATGTTCCTGTTCAAGGACCTATCTTGTGCTATCCGCTAAAGAGATAACAGGGTCATCCAAGGATATCGGGAGACCATCAGCGTTTTTGTCTTACCCCTCCTATTAGGCGTAGACATTGTCTTGGGAATGGATTGGCTGCGGCCTAATGAGATGATATTTAATTTCCAATATAATGTGCTCTCATTCACAAAGAATGGGACGGCGTTTTAATGGCAAGTCCCAAAGCACCATGCACCGGACGACAAACCTCAAAGCTTGGCTCTTGATGTGCACTTTACATCAACTCTCCAATTCAAAGAGCACGTCAAGGGAGCTAATACACTTTTTTGTGGTACAGATACACTCCAAAACAACAACTTTACAGATTATTGAGGATTTCCCACCTCAAATGAAGGCATTGGTAGATGAATGTTTTGAGGTTTTTTAGCCAATTCCGTACAGGGTTACCTACGGACCGTGCAATCGATCACATTATCCTAGTGGAACCAAGAAAGGCACCACCATTCAGACCAGCTGACTACAAGGAGGCTAAGCAGCAGATTGAGGAATACCTCAGGAAGGGATGGATAGAACCCAGCGCGTCCCCATATGGAGCACCTATCTTGTTCGTTCACAAGAAGGGAGGTGGACTACACATGTACGTTAATTATTGATACCTGAATAAAATCACAATCAAAAATAGATATCCACTTCCGCGGATAGAAGATTTATTTGGTTGACTAAAGAGAGCGCAATGGTTTAATGCATTAGATTTGGCGCAATGTTATCACTAATTGCGTATACCAAAGGACGATGTTTCAAAGACGGAATTCCGTCCACCGTTCGGCCATTTTCAGTGACATGTGTTAAATTTTGGCTTGACCAATGCTCCGGCCTCTTTCCAGAGGGCGATGGACGACGTGTTTCGTGATGCGATTGGCCAGCTCGTTTTAGTGTACCTCGATGACGTCTTGGTATATTCAAAGACTAAAGACAAACATACGGAACATTTGAAATGGGTCCTCGGAAAATTACGCGAGCACAAATACTACGCGCGTTTGTGGAAATGACGGTTTTACAAACGTAAGCTGGAGTACTTGGGGCAAGTGGTGGGGAATAACGGGTTGACAATGGACCCTAAGAAGGTAGCAGCTACCCAAGAGTGGCCCGTCCCACGTGACGTTGGCCAAGTTCGATCATTCCTGGGCCTGGCAAATTAATTGTCGTTGCTTCTTGGGAATTTATTCCACGACATTTGCTCCCCTCACGGCATTTTAAGAAAAAGTGTGCATCGGAATGGACCGCACCCGTTTTGGTATCACCAAACCCACAGAATTCATATGAGGTGGTTACAGACGCTTTAATGGTGGGGCTTGGGGTAGTACTCCTGCAAGGTGGTTTGTGACACGTTGTGCACGTAATGACAGTAGTGATGTCCAGCAGTTTGTGACACGTGTGCGTGTAATGAACCGGACACACAGAAGCCTGGTGGTTTGCTTCAACCACTTGAAATTCCGAGTGAACCTTGGGTAAGTGTTTCACTAGATTTCATCACCGACCTCCCAAGAACCCGTGATGGGTATACGGCGATACTCGTGTTGGTGATCGCCTTACAAAAATGGTGCACTTCGTAACCAGGACAACGGACGTGTCAGCAGCTCGGTTGTTTGTGACACATGTGTTCCGAAAACTTGGATTGCCAAGTGTATTAGAAGGTGTTACATTGTGCGCTGGTCCATTTACAAGGAAACGGACCAGCGAATGCAAGGGGGTGCCATTTTACAGTGACCACTTCCAAATGTGGTACCCACCTGATACCTGCGTGGTACCGGGGACCATTTGCAGGGGACCAGCTACGCACAATGCATTATAGTTTCAAAAACGTACGGTTACCAAAAAAAAAGTGTACCTGGTTACTCTTGATTGAGATGTCAGAACTGGAAGAGAATTTATGCGAAGAAATTTAGTGCAGTTTT